TTGGACGCTGGTCCGCTCATTCATTCAACAAGCACACACTGTGCCAGGCACCGTTGCTGAGGGGAGACTTGGGGTGGTCAGCAGACATTTGCTCATCAGAGATAACACCTCACGGTTATCTCTGCTTCGTGGCTCTCCAGCCGCTAGGGCTCCAGGGGAGGCTACCAAACACGGAACTCCAGAGGGACCAAGAAGGCAGACGTCTGCCCGCCAGACTTAAGGAGGGTGCTCTCTTGCCCATCACCAAGCCACCTCTTCCAGGAAGGCCTAGCCTCACTGGGGGACAACCCTCTTGCTTCCAAATTCTCCTCTCTCTCCCCAAGGGCCTTGGGCAGAGCGGGGGGCGGGGGGAGCAGAGAACTATTTCCATACTTTCTAAATCTATTTATCCTAACCCTGCTCTCTCTCAAGTTTAACTTAAAAGGAAAGTATTTGCTGCCTTTGTTCTGGGTTTCAGACTTGCCTGGACTAGAGAAGGCCTCCAGCGCAGAAACAAGCCAACAGGAGAGTGGGGCGGCGGGGGGGTTAAGGCTCCAGCGGCACCCTGCTGTGGTGTGGTTGCTGCAGCCCCCAAACCTTCCCAAACAAAGCCTGGCTGGAGTTGTCTTTCACACAGGGCAACGTGGGCTTGTGTGTGTTTGTTCGTGTGTTTGTTTGGTTTTGTTTTTGGCCCAGGAATACAAAAGCTACTGTGGGGCGCCTGGGTGGCTCAGTTGGTCGAGCGCCCCACTTTGGCTCAGGTCATGATCTCACAGTTCGCGAGTTCAAGCCCTGCCTGGGGCTCTCTGCAGCCAGCATGGGGCCAGCTTCAAATCCTGTCTCTGGCTCTCTGCCCCTCCCCCCACCCCGGCTCAAAAAATAAACATTAGAAAAAGAAGAAGAGGAAAAAGAAATACAAACGCCACTGTTAACCCCTTCCTAGGGCAAAGGAGACCCAACACGGGAGCTGGGTCCCCCTTCCTACAAGGGGCAGCGAGGACAGTGAAGGGCTTGCCTCTTTCTTTTGGCTGGATGAGCACACGGCGGGAGAAAATGCTAGACACCGATTTCTTTCCCAATATCTCACCCCGTTACACACTTAGGTCATAAACTCATAGCAACAATAAGCACCTGAGAGAACTTCTCAGAGGACCCCCCTCATTCTGATGATGGTCAGGCACCGTGCCAAATGCCAGAGATGCAATAAATAAAACAAAGTCCCTGCCCTGAAGGGGTTCAAAGGCTACTCGAGGAGACAGACATTTGAACAACTAATCCCAACAATCGAGGGCCGGTGCCATGGGAACGCAGAAGAGCAAACCCAGGTCCAGAAAGGGAAGTCTTCACAGAGGTGGTGACAAGACATATTGTTTTAAAAAATAACTCTATTTCTTTATAAAAATGACACTTGCTTTATATAATAATGCAAACGATAAAATCCCGAGAAGGAAGTAACAAAACGCCTCAAGGCCCACAACCCAGAAATAACCAGTATAAAACTCTTCAAATGGATTTTGTTGGAATTTTACGAGACAGAGAGGAGTCTGTCCGTCACAGTGGAGGAACCAGAGCAAGGGCCAAGGACGTGGAAGTGACCAGAGCCAGGGCTGCGTGGAGTGCAGAGTGCCCGCACAGGGGTGCCAGCTGAGGCTAAGTGCCGTGTGCTAAGCATCTAGAGCTACGTGGCGGGAGACTTCCCATAAATATGCATGGCACCCGGGGGGCTCGGTCAGCTGAGCACCTGACTCTTGGCTTCAGCTCAGGTCATGATCGCGTGGTTTCGTGGGTTTGAGCCCCACGTTGGGCTCTGTGCCGGCAGCATGAAGCCTGCTTGGGATTCTCTCTCTCCGGTGCTCGCTGCTCCTCTCCCACACGTGCTGTCTCTCTCTCTCTCAAAATAAATAAATAAAATTTTTAAAATATTAAAAAAAAAAAAAAAGGAAAGTGACACACGGCAGGCAGGCAGGCTAAACATCAAGAGAGGGAGAGAGAAAGACCAAAGGGGGCAGTCCACTGAAGTATGAAGAAATGAGTCGAATGCATAATGAGATAAGCATACAATAGTGGCCCCCGTTTAATGAGCTCCTACATATGCCAAGTCCTAAGCTAAGCATGGTTCATGGTTAGCCCGATTCATTTTCACAACAGCATTACCTAAGTAGTATTACACTGTCAATTTACACCCAAGGAAACACCCAGAAAGATTAGAGGACCTGCCCAAGATCACCCAAGTAGGTCATTTAGGATCTGAACTTGAACTGATACTCTTAATGCAGTGCTTCTGTCTTGCCTGAGGACTCTGAAAGGTTTCGGGTATTAGCAAGATCCGCCGAGTTAGCACAGAGCCTCTCCCCATCAACGGGTTTTGCTCACTTGGATGCGTAAGTTCTGTCTGTTTAAAAACCAATCTCAATACTTTAGAATCCTGTGTCACGTTCAACCCCGAACGAAATCTTGGAAAGCCGTTAGAGGGAAACACCAGACCAATCAGATTTAAAACATATACCCTTGGGGCGCGCCTGGGTGGCGCAGTCGGTTAAGCGTCCGACTTCA